CCAGTACTATTTGTCAAGAAGAAAGACGGTTCAATGCGTATGTGCATCGATTACCGTGAGTTAAACAAAGTAACGATCAAGAACAAATATCCACTTCCACGTATCGATGATTTGTTCGACCAATTGCAAGGTGCGAGTTACTTCTCTAAAATTGATTTACGGTCGGGTTATCATCAACTCAGAGTGCGTGAAGAAGATGAATCGAAAACGGCTTTTCATACACGTTATGGCCACTATGAATTTTTAGTTATGCCATTCAGTTTAACTAATGCAACTGCAGCGTTCATGGATATGATGAATCGCGTGTGCCGGCCAATGTTGGACAAATCTGTGATCGTGTTTATAGATGATATTCTTGTATATTCCAAATCTGAAGCGGATCACGTGAAGCATTTGTGTGAGATGCTTGAAACACTTCGAGAAGAGCGTCTATATGCTAAATTTTCGGAATGTGAATTTTGGCTACGTCAGGTGCAATTCCTAGGTCATACGATTTCTTGTGATGGTGTGTCGGTTGACCCATCCAAAGTTGAAGCTGTAAAGAACTGGGAGCAACCTAAGAATGCATCTGAGATTCGTAGTTTTCTTGGACTCGCGGGTTATTATAGACGATTCATACGAGATTTCTCTAAAATTGCCGTGCCTTTAACTTCGTTGACCCAGAAAGATGTCAAGTTCGAATGGGGTGAAGCTCAAGAGAATGCTTTTCAGGTGTTAAAGCTTTGTTTGTCAGATGCTCCTGTTCTAGCTTTACCAGAAGGTAGTGACGACTTGGTAGTTTACTGCGAAGCTTCTAAACTGGGTCTCGGTTGTGTTCTTATGCAGCGAGGCAACGTAATTGCATACGCTTCGAGACATGTGAAAGATTATGAAAAGAACTATCCAACTCATGATCTTGAGTTGGTAGTGGTCGTTTTTGCACTAAAATTATGGCGTCATTATTTATATGGTACCAAATGTCAACTATTCACAGATCATAAGAGTTTGAAGTATATCTTCACTCAACAGACTTTGAACATGAGGCAACAACGAGCCATGGAACTGATTAAAGACTATGAATGTGAAATTCTCTATCATCCAGGTAAAGCTAATGTTGCTGCAGATGCTTTAAGCCAGAAGACGTATACAAACTTCATGTGTTATGCTATTACACATACGTCCCTGACATCTACACTAGTTGACAACATACGAAAATGGCAAGTAGAGGCTTTAAAGCCTGATCGTGTGAAACCAGAGCATATAGTTGGTTATGTTTCGTATCTGAAAAATGATAGTCGAGGACTTAAAGTCTTCAAGGACCGTGTTTGGATTCCAAAATCGGTGGTATTCGGGAATCGGTATTATATGAAGCACATAAGTCGCGGATGTCCGTGCATCCGGGCAGTACAAAGATGTATTACGATTTGAGATCTGAATATTGGTGGCCGGGAATGAAGCGTGATATCGGCCGATATGTGGAACAATGTGTTACGTGTTCGCAGGTTAAAGCTGAACACCAAAAACCTTATGGTAGCCTTCAACCTCTCGATATACCGGTGTGGAAATGGGAGAAACTTGCAATGGATTTCGTTACAAAGCTACCGAAGACGTCTCATCAGCACGACAGCATCTGGGTTGTCGTGGACCGTTTAACCAAAAGTGCTTACTTTCTGCCTGTTCGATAGTCGTATTCTATGGATAAATGGGCACAAATTTATATCGACGAGATTATTGCATGACATGGTGTTCCTCTAAAGGTAATTTCTGATCGAGATTCTCGATTTACTTTGAAATTTTGGGCCAGTTTACAACGAGAACTAGGGACACGCGTGGCATTGAGCACAACCTATCATCTCCAAACTGATGGCCAGTCCAAATGCACAATACAGACGTTAGAAGATATGTTGCGTGCGTGTATCCTTGAGTTTGGTGGTAGTTGGGATATGCATCTACCATTGGTTGAATTTTCATACAACAACAACTATCACTCGACTATCGATATGGCGCCTTTTGAGGCTTTATATGGTCGTAAATGTCGAACTCCACTGTGTTGGCGTGAGACGGGTGAGAAAGTGCTTGCTGGACCCGAAATGATTCAAATTACRCATGATAAGATTCAAGTTATTCGGAAAAGGATGAAAGCCGCTCAGGACAGACAGAAGTCGTACGCCAATAATCATCGACGACCAATTGAATTCATCGTGAGCGACATGGTTATGTTGAAAGTTTCCCCTTGGAAGGGTATACTACGATTTGGTAAGCAAGGTAAGCTTAGTCCACGTTTCGTTGGACCATTCAAAATCATTGAACGTATTGGCAAACAAGTATATCGACTTGAACTTCCAGAAGAGCTGTCTGGTATTCACGATGTATTTCATGTTCGATATCTTTGAAAGTGTTTGGGTAAGTATGATGAAACAATTCCCTTAGCTAAGGTGAAGATTGACGAATGACTGAGATATATCGAGGAACCAGAAGAAATTCTAAACGAAAGAACGGCAAATCTTCGGAACAAGACAATCGATTTGGTATTGGTGAAATGGAAGCATCATCGTGGTCCGAATTGCACGTGGGAGAACAAAGAACAGATGCTTGCCAAATATCCTGAGCTATTCGAGAAATGAAGATTCCGAGGATAGAATCCTCAAAAGGAGGAGGTAATTGTAACAAACACTTTTGCAAATACGTTGCAATTATCCCCTTTATACGTGTTTATGTGATCAAAACTAGGGATGGCAACGGGGCGGGGATGGCATGGGGTTTGCAATCCCCGGCCCCGACCCTGTTTATATACAGAGTCCCCAGCCCCGGCCCCGTCCCCGGTCAACTTTCGGTCAACCCCCGGTCAATTTAAAATTAATAAGTTTTTTCGAAGCATGATCAACATAGCAACATAATTAGTTAATTACATCATATCTAGTCTTACCTAATAAAAATAATAAAATTGTAAAATTAACAACAATCCAAGAAGATGAAAAATTTAAAACAAGTGTTTTCCAAGCATTCAAGCAACACATAATTCCATACTCCAATCCCTCAACAATCAACATCTTCATCGTATCCAATCGTTTGATCAAATCCTTTTG